TACATTTGGAAAGCGTTATTATCAATTTTGTCAACTGTTGAAGTTTTTCTGCATAATCCAGTTTGTTTTCCGCATAATTGACACATTTTTCCATGTTTTCCCACCAAAAATTTCTGCTGGTAATTTGTTATTTTTTGTGCACCTTGTCAGATGGCGTGCCATGAGTTTCATCATAATCATAACATATTTTCCAACTGGAAGGAGACAATCATACCTTGAGAGGAGGCAGCTCGTTGAGGCTGCCGGCAACTGGCTGATTTTGAGAAGGTTTTAAGGGAGGGCGGGGGGAGAAGAGGCATAACTGACAATGGCTTGTTTCACTTCTTGTGAAAGTAGCAGCACTTCTCAAAGTTGTATCCAATGGATGTTAGAGTTAATCACTGTCAGAAAATTCTGTAAGCCAGAAGCAGGAAATTTTCTTACAGAATTCTCTATACATGGTAGCTCTGACAATAATGTTATGATGGAGTGTCAAAAAACCAAAACCAAACCAATTACGTACCAATTAGACCACTCAACCAATCTCAAGCTGTAGTAAAACCAAAACCAAAGTAATTTCCTGATTACTTTCAACACTCAACTGAAAACCACTCTGTCATCAAGTAGGCTGTTAATGATGTATGAGATGCAGCAATCTAATTGTTAGTGCATTAGAGTCTGAATGTGGTGTGGATTTTAACCCCTGCCGGGGCTATTGAGTTGTGTTCTTGGGCAAGACACTTTATCTCAGTGTCTCTTTCCCCTTTTGGGAAGTGCAGTATATCTAACTCCTGATGTACATCTTTTTTATCATGATAGTTTGCATTGCAACAGCAAGTGTTTGATAGTAAAATCAACTATCAATATCAATAATTGTGATCGCTTGGCGTGACTATCAGTAGTAACTTGCAATAGTGGGCAAGAAATGTTTTCACCACAGTTGCTACTAATCTTACAATCTGATTGGCTAATTTGCTGTTGTCCATAAGAGTCCAGACAGCACTGCTTGCATCAATGTGTCATGTTCTGAAAAAAACAATTCCTCTGACATTGATATTGTGGTAAAAAACAAATGGAATGTGGTATAGTGTTGTCTGTATTCTTATCAACAACGATACGCGTCATCCCAGTGGTCAAAATTTGATGTGCACGAGGTGCAGCTGAGTGAGTCCACCACATTTTGACCACTGTGATGATGCGTATCATTGTTGATGAGAATACAGACAATGCTAAACCACATTCGATTTGTGAAATGCATTTTGGCTGCATCATTCCTTTGTTATCCGAAACAGAAATACCTAATGAATGACATGAAATAAATATAAATTCACTGTTAACATGATACAATGTTGCAAAGGGCAGAACATGCAACAGAAATGAATGACAAGGATAAAAGCCATCTTGGACAATGTTTGTTTTCATACATTCACTGTTGTGCACTGTATGAAGGTTACTTGCATACATGTAAGTGCTCTTGACTTCAATTGCTTTTTTGTGATAACTGAAAATGGTAATCAAGAACAGACACAATACTTAAATGTGAAATATGTCTGGTTTTGCACCATGGCAACACAATCATAATACAATGATGCACTAATCCCACCTTTTGCAACTTGATTGCAATAATGCCCCATTTAATGTTGCAATAGTAAAATTTTACTCAGTAATCACCCATGCTTTCCACCCCAGAGTATATATGCAAACTAGCCAATTAAATACTTCAGGGTAACTCTCTCATCCTTGTTCTAGCACCCACTCCAGGGAGACATTACCTTATTATTCATTTTTATACTTTGTGTGTTGTCTACAACAAACAATTTTTCCACAGGCTCACGATGGTCCAGTACGTTCAATGGTTTGGAGTCATGCTGATAACTGGCTATTGTCGTCCGACCATGGTGGTTTCATAAAGTACTGGCAGTCCAACATGAACAATGTGAAAATGTATGAGGCCCACAAAGAGCCCATTAGAGGATTAAGGTTAGCAACATTGGTTCCTGGAACTCAACAAAATGGACAGTTTTTAGCAGTTCTTGTCGGTATAGTAGAACTTATAAAACTTTTGATAGAATTAGCACTAGTGCAACAAATGAGCAATGTTTTATCCAGCAGTGGTTGCCGAGAAAATAGCAGCAAATTTGCCAAAAGGTAATATAGAGCTCTGCAGGACATTGCTTGAATAGGCAATTTGCATGATGGCGTCATCTGACTACAACTACCAGAATCCTTCACTTTTTCTGTTTTTTATATGCTAATTGGGACAATTGTTATTTAAACCCCACTGGGAATTCAAAATTTAAATAATAAAGAAAAAACGAAAGGAATTCTGGTAGTTGTAGTCAAATGACAACATTGTGCAAATCTGCTATTAATGCATTAAAAAATTATTTTTTAAAGAAATATTACACAGGAGTGATAAATTATGTTGGCAATGTTGATTGCTTTAATAGGTCTTCAAACAACGTCCTGTAGGTGGTTCTGGTAAATGACAAGATATATTAAAAATACAATTTTTTGTAGTTAATGCTTAAGCTACATTAAAAAAGAAAGCATGGCTTAAGCATGGTTTTTCTAAACTTTATAAGTTCTTGATAAATAAAGAAATAAATGAGATTCATTTCAATAAAGAGGGCGTGGCTGACGAAATAACACTTTCCCAGAGAAAATAAAGACCATCAATAAAAGTTTTACCCATCAAACCCCTAAACCTCTAACAGCAACCTTTGTTATAAAAACAACCTTTAGCTTTATCAATATTCAACTCAGTAAATGCAAAACATGTTGAGTATGGAAGTGTCAGCTTTTCTTACATCATGCCAATCTATTTATCAATTTCCCATGGTATTCAGGGCCGACTTTCCATAAACACTGTATTCCCCCCTGCCCTCCAGACACACCCATAGACCAATGTACGAATACCACATTACAAATCATCAAAGGTTTTCAGCAATGTCTCCGGTAAGAAATTTACAGATGTGTTTTATTCCTGGCCAAATTAATCCTCTCAGGAATCTACCTAATTGACTTTAAATGTCTGTTGATTCTAAAGAAACCTGTTGAAATCTCATTGGAAATGTTTTGAATGTAAAATGCATAAATTGCCAAAATCAACCCATAGAAGTACTTTTGGATCAAGAGTTTTATCTGTTGAACCTTGTAATTCTCCTTTGAAATAACTGAAAAGCAGAAACATTGCTTTGCTTTATCAAAATGTAGTCAAGAATATCACGATCTTATTTATTAATATCCGGAAACATCGTTGCTGACATTATAATGGTGCCACTAATTTCGAGCCTTAAATTATCAAATTTGCTGCAAATGAAACTGAAAACTGTGTCATAAAGCTGCAGGAAAAAAAAATTGACAGAAGCCCATGTAGCCTAGAAGATTGAAATGCTAAAGGCGATTATTTTTGTTTCCAGAAGAAAATATTATAAGAACATCAAACTATAATCTGACATCTTACAGTAGCTTTGCGGCAGGTATAAAGGTACTATTTATTCAAACTTGCTACACCTTATGGTATATATTTGATGACAAAAGGAAGGTGATTTTAATGAACCATTTATTTCATCTGAATTGAAAGTTGCTCAAAATAATAATGAAACAATCTATAGTGACCGGTGTAAAGCTGCTGTTGTGTTTTCCCAGAGAAATGATTATGTTCTTGAAACTTAAATCCAGTGTGAGTAATCAACATTGTTTTGTTTTTTTTCATCAAAACTTGGTGAGAGTTGAGTCAAGTTTCAAGTCAATAAAGAGACCCAATGCTCAGGTCTTGAGAGAATTGAGTTTCTAGTGTCCACTTAACATAAGTAACATAACTTAAGCCATATTTGAAGGATATTTGAGTATTTCAATGGACAATAACAGTTAGTATTTTTGGTTGCTTTTGTTTGGCATTTTGGGGAAATGTATGTATGTGTGCAGTTGCAAGGAATGAAGAAATTTTGGTCGAACATTTACCATTTTGAATTAACCAGTTTGGATCACACAAACATTCAAGAATTCTGGCATATAGCATGATATTGTGAGAAGAATAGCAAACTTTAAAGGTAGCATGTCAGAATGTTTACCCCAAAAATAATTATTAATAAGGTACAAATTATAATTTTTTTTGTCAATTTATTATTTACCAGTGATTATTCCTTGTAGTAAAATTCAAAAGTTCATCAATTGACATTAATATTTTAACCTTATTTTAGGCATTCTTAATAAACTGTGAATACCAGGCGAAAGATTCACAATGCAAGAGAGAAAAACTCCCTCATTCACAAATACTGTGGAATATTTCTTGGTGAACCAAGATCATAATTTTGAAAAAATTAACTTAAATTGAACTTAATGTAATATTTTTGTTCACCCTCATCATTTGTAATGAACTTGTTTACTTATATTTTCTGCCTCCCTGTCCAAATGTTTCATTGCCTCAGCTCATACCAATCAAAAGGCACTTTTGGCTTGCCTTGTGTCCCTTATTTTAGAGCACGGAGAAGTCCACTGCTAAACCAAACAAGTGTAAAATGCAAGCATAATTCTAGATAAACAGGAGCGCATTTTCACTTCTGATTTTTTTAGGAATACAATTTGATCTGACTTGACCTGGCCCGGTCTGACCCTTACTGACAATTAATTCTTGTGATTGATACCTGTTTGCCTATTCTTGGAAAGTGCNTGTGTTGACTGGCATCCTACAAAGAGTCTTGTTGTGTCTGGCAGCAAGGACAGTCAACAGCCTATCAAGCTGTGGGACCCCCGCACAGGATATGCACTAACAACTCTGTAAGTTTATACAAGATTTATAATGCTGGAGCTGTAGAAACACTTATTCCAACCTTTTCCTCTATTAACTATGCCTTAACTTAGAAAGAAGTTGTTCTTGCCATGCTGTCAGTATTTGTGCTCAAGCTTCATATGACACTAGAAAAAGCCCAGTCAGGCATAAGAACACCACAATCAGTTTTCTGAAAGTTGCTTTTGCATCATTTAAATGAACATAGAATGTGTAAGCTACTCCCCCGTGAGCTGCACAACAACTGAAAAAATCCCCAAAAATAAAGAACTCAGTGAAGAGAATAACATGTAATACACGTACTGGAAGAGTATAAAACAGTTTCAGGTGTTTTCTCCTTTATCTAATGCACTGACAGTCCTTACATACTTAGCATTTCCCTTGAATTTTCTTCCCTTTCAATTTAATTGCTTTGGTTTATTAAAGACTCTTTTTTTCTTCAAGTCACGCTCACAAGAGCACAGTGATACAGATTAAATGGAATCAGAATGGGAACTGGTTATTGACAGCATCACGTGATCATCTGTTGAAGTTGTTTGATATTCGTATGATGAAAGAAATGCAAACTTTCCGAGGTCATAAAAGGGAAGCTACAGGTAAACATAATCTGAGTTTTTGAAAGCAATCAAGAATTCATGGGCTAGAGTTGATCAGGACTCAGCCTGACCAAGGATCGTCATTGGAAACTATTCAAAATGACTGACTTGTTTTTATCATTTTATTGACATAATTTGATGATGCCAACATATTTATTGGAATTTACGGCTGAATAATAATTATTGTTCAGTTTGATCCCTCTGCCAAAATTAATAAATTTGGGCTTGAAATATCTTGATGCCAAAAAATGGCCATACACTGTTCCTTTCTAAGCAGTGTTTACAGATTAATTTTCTCTGTGCTAAATGAACATTGCTTTTTTGTTTGTAGCAATCAGTTGGCATCCTGTTCATGAATCTCTTTTTGTCAGTGGTGGATCAGATGGCTCCATGATGTTTTGGGTGGTTGGGTATGTTCAGTGCACAGAGAACATTGTAATAGTCCCTACTTTATTTTCAACTCCTCTCTACTTGAATGGAGTGTCTTAGTATGATATCCAGTACTGAGATGGCTGTTGAAAAAATGATGTATGGAAGAGTTTGATAAAACTCTAGTTCTGCCCTGAGTGTTTGATACATCTTCGTGTACTAGTTATAAGGCAAGCAAAAGATGAAAAATCACTCCATTGTCTCTAGTAATTACAGCATTCAGGAAAATCTGGATAATAGTATTCTTCTGGGCTACATGTTGTTTCCTTTAACTGCAACAAGATCTCAGTTACTTTGCTTTCAATATTTATTATGGTCTGAAATGCCACTTTGTTCCTGGTTGTTTTTGTCCCTAGTTAGTTGCTAGGTAACTTGATGTATCATCAGTGCACTGTGCTGGTGTATCAACTTCTGGCATCGTCATTACTAGTAGTACATACAAAGAATGTGAAACTTGAAGTGCTTCAAAAACAATCTATCAACTGCACTTAAGCCTGTAATAATCAGTTCTGGTTACGTAATGTTTAGCCACTTCTGGTCGCATGATCAGGGGTGTAATTAGTTCGTGCAGTGTAAGTTTTTTGCATACCTGTGAATTTGCTTGTGTATTAACATATTATTCTAGTTTGTTGAGTCAATGTAACATGATTTTATGATCTCATCTCTTGCCCGATTTTATTGGTTCATAGCTACAACAGTGCCCACAAATCTGTTAGGAAATCTCAAATTTCTGAAAACTGTTGTTTGAATTAGGGCCGAGAAGGATGTTGGTAATATGGAGATGGCTCATGAGGGAATGGTGTGGAGTTTAGCATGGCACCCTCTGGGACATATACTGTGTTCAGGATCTAACGATCACTCCAGGTAAGACAGCATGAAGTGTAGCAGCTATCATACTAGTAGGTGTAAAGTCTGCATACGAGCCAAGGGGCCATCAGGCCGGAGCTTATCCCAGTTCATAACTAGGAATATTTCTACTACCCCCTGGATGGGATGCTAGTTCATCGCAGGGTTACCCCCAGCATTAAATTTGCTGGTACCCATTTGTATACACTTGGATGGAGAGAGATAAGACACTTTACTCTTATGTCCCCGGCCAGGCCTCGAACCCTGACCCGCTTGATCCAGAGTCCAAGGCACTAACCATGAGGCCACTGCGCCTCTACATACCAGTAGGTGTGGGTTGAGTTAAATGTTGCGACTTGGTCATGAATGGGATTGTGACCCAGTTAGGGCAAATATAAACATTCACATGATAATGTTTTCGTTCCTTCTAGGTTCTGACTGATTTATTGTAAATTCATTTTGCTGTTATGGTGAATGAGTTCTTTGATTCTTTTTGGTTGACATTTTTGATCATCAAGCAGAAAACTGGCTTAAGCAAATTTTATTCAGGTTTGCTTTCCATATGCTGGTCTTGTAAATTGTTCACTTTTTAATTTGATGTTTTGTTGACTCTCAGTAAATTTTGGACTCGAAACCGACTTGGTGACAGGATGAGAGATAAATACAATCTAAACATTCTGGACACTGAGGATGACACTGGTGAGTTCATTCTGTTTTTGTTGTTGTTGTTGTTGTTTGGTTGAATGTATGTTTATTTGTTTCTCATTTGGTTGCTGGTTGTTTTCCAGAAACTTTTGGGTTATACTTGCATTCTTCGAGGTTTTCTACAGGAGAGGGGTGTTAACTGAGTAATATGTATCTCATGTTTTAAATATGGTTGTTTGAATTTGGGGTGTTTTGAAAAAGTTGAGGTTATTTAGGCATTGCATTTTTCTTTTGTGTGTTTTGAGGATGCACAATCATGGCTTCATTTGTCACTTCCTAGCAATTTTCCATGATAGAAATAATCATTTGGCCAATGATGCCATCTACGATGATGGTTAACTGATGTGAAGTTTATATGAAATAATTCATATATGAACTGCGGTTGTAGATGAAAGTGGAAAATGATCATCGCAGTAAATTTTCCAATTTAAGCAATTGGAAAGAAGAAGCCTGAAAAAATCAGGGCTTCAACGNAGTTCATATATGAATTATTTCATATAAACTTCACATCATTTGACTCCTCACGGGAAGATATGAACTCAATAAATTGACCTCGCTGCCAATGTGTGGCTTCATAGCTCAGTTGGTAGAGCATCGCACCAGTATCGCTAACGTTAACTGTTATCATTTTTTTTTGTATACAGAAGGTGACCACCCTGGTGTTTTAAGTACAGCTATTCCAGGAATGGACACAGCATTAAACCCTGCAGAAGAGTTGCCAGATATTGATAGATATGACTTGGGAGAAAAAGGCTAGAAATGTTTACATTCTACCTGTCTTATCTTTTAAGCAGACTATTTTCTCCCCTTTATCTTGCCATCTTGACCTCACGCTTGATTTACAATCAAGTTTAACATTAACAATGTTAAATAATGATGGAATTTATGAGACACAGTACAAATAACATGAATGCCTGTTCCTACAAAGTGTAGTAAGGTAACCCAAAACTCTTCGTGGGTCCTAGAAAAGTCTTTCTCACACTCATTAATAATTTATCAAATGAAAACAAAGGAAAATACAACCGTGAAGGAGGTTTGGATGCCCGGTCTTAATTAGCGTAGATTTTGACGATTTTACTTCTCTGTGTACTCCTTAGTTTTTGTTTCGATAGAGAATATATATCAAACACTCGAGACAATGTTTTATTGGATATCCAAACACCTCACATTTCGTTAAAAATACCCCTTTGCGTGTCATATTTTCAACTCTTTTCCCAGTGTTTAGATATCCTGATGAAACACTGTCTCTCGTGCTTGATATTGTACTTCTCAAACTCATTAATAATTCATTAAGTTTGAACAAAAGAAATCATGACTGTGGCGGTGTTTGGATATTTGATCTTAATTAGCATAGCTTTTTACGATTTTCTTTCTCCATTTTCTCCTTAGTTTTAGTTTTGATTGAGAAGATTTATCAAACACTCAAGACAGTGTTTGACCACATTTCCAAACACCTCAAAGTTCGTCAAAAATACTCCGCTGGGCATCGTATTTTCAACTCTCTTCGCGGTGTTTGTAAATGTGGTCAAACAGGGCCTTTCGTGTTTGAAATATTACTTGAAAGTCAGTTTTGACCTAGGGTGCAAACCTTGCAGGAGACTAAGTTAAGAAAAACATGATATTTAATAGTACTTTTTGTGTTACTCTCTGTGGAATCAGTGGTAGTACTTCTTAAGTATACATAGGTTCCTGGGCTGATGAGAAGATAGATTCATAGAAAGCTGATGTGAATATGGCAATGATTTCTGGCTTGGTCTATCATTATTAAATTACTGTATAATGAAATTTCATGCTTGTTCTTCTGTTGCAGGTCCTTTATTTGGACTCGGCAACTCACCAGCAAACAAGACCACACCCATTCGCCCAAGGCAATCAGAACCACAAAATCCAGGATTCACTCTGCCTAATTTTAAAAACAGTCCAACTATTCCAGGGTTTGGCTCACTTGGAGAAGTTAACACAACCGTAGAAAATGGGAACTCCAATTTAAGACCAGATGCTCCACCATTCAAACCTGGAAGGCCAGGAGAAAGGAATCATGTGGGGCAATTTGAGCCCCCAGCCCCTCAGAGACTTATCCAGCCCAACAGCTTTAAAACTGAGAAGGGACCAAGGCCCTTTGATACACCTCAAGGAGACCAATTTACACCTGGAAGACCCAGAGGCGACTTTGAAACAGGAGGACCACGGAGAGAGTCATGGGATGAGCCCAGGGGTCCTTCTGGGGACTTTAAACCACCTAATTGGCGTGAGCAGGGTCCTAACGATTTTGGACATGGCAGAGATTTCAGGTCGGATGATGGAGGGCCAAATTTTAGGGGACCTCCTGGAGACAGGTTTCATGGACCCATGCCTGATAGGCAGGGCCTTTTAGGGTCACCACCAAGGCCTCTTGATATGGACTCACGGCCTGGGTTACTCGGTGCTCCACCAACACAGAAGCCTCCTCAACTGATGCAGGGACCACCTGGATCCCAGGGAGGTCCCACAGGGCCAGGGGGAAATGATTTCCTTCATCAAGGTACACTGACATGATGAACCTCTGTGTTAAAGTGAAAATGATATTTTCCCTTTTGACTGGAATTTTGCAATGTGTAGTCTAGCTTTGCAGATCTACAGACTGCTAACTAGATTGGAAAATGAGGAGGGTCTTGTATATAGTGATGTCAAGTCAAGGTCTGGCCCTCTCTCTGTCACGCAACGCTACGTTTTCGGGAGAGAGATACCCACTCCCGAGAACATGGCGTTTTGTGACAGAGAGTGGGATAGGATAAGGGCTACTCAAATGATCTGCAGTTTTGCCATGAAATCGTTTATACACTAAACCACTAAATATTCTCTTCCGTTCAATTTTCTGTAATTCAACTTCGTAATTTATTTTGTCCTGTCCATTAACGTTAATGGGATTCATTACATAGGTTTACTACCGAACAGACAGACCCTTCCTCCTCAGTGGTTTAAGGGTATTTCAAGGAGGGGAAGCTATTTGTATTATAGTACATCTGCTTTACTGACGTAGAAACATTGTGTTCTCGTCTTTGTCTGGTGGAGTTTGGGTTAAAGTTTGTTAGGGCAGGGTTGCTGAAGTAATGATGCAGTCAGAACAAAACGCGGGGAAGCTTAAATGGAGTACTTTTGTTTCCTTCTTTGTGCAGGTTCTGGACCGAACAACGACCCCAGGCAAGACCAGGGATCTTGGCGACCACATCCTAATGAACGTGAAGGTGACAGGAATGAACTATCACCAAGATTTGACATGAACGATCCACGCACTAGGCATCCACATGACCTCAGCTCAAGGGGCTTTAGAAGGGGTGGCCCCCGCGGACGGGGCCATGATTCCCCTCCACATCATGGCCCTGAGATGGAAGGGCCCAACCAAAGATCCCATCCATTTCTTAACAAGCTTAGTTCAAGAGGTTTCAAGAGTAGTACTCAAGGGATGCATGAAAATAGGGATCCTCGCTGGGGAGGATCCTCAAATGAGCCCCCTCAAGGAAGAGGCCCTGAAGAACCACCTGGTGAGGAGTGTTCATATTGTAATGAAATTGATATAGTGATTGCACGAGCTATGATGCGCGTGCTAAGATGTATAACGGTTGTATTTGTATGTATACTCGCACGAGTTCTAAGACTACGAGACGGTTATATGGCGAGTACACGGAATGCGCAATATACTCGTAATACAGGATATATAAGGGACTCACGTTATGTGGTGACCTGTGTGTGTGAGTAGAGTTGCTGTGTACGAGTAAGCTAAACGTTAAGAGTCGAGTAATTAAACCGTTGGCTGTTGGACTCTTAGAGTGGAAGTTGTTGTCGCTCGCACGTTACAATATTATATCTTTGATCATCACATGTTTCATTCCGTTTAGTTGTCTAGTACATGAATTTATCAGAAAAATGTTAAGTAAATTTACACATTTTTTACCAAGGATTCAAGGAATCTAAAACTCTTCCTTTTTACAAAAAAAAAAAAAACAAAGAAAAAATGGTTTCTTTGCGTCTGTTGCTTTGGTTTCTTGACTTTGGCAGACCTCTGTCTTTCTGGAGGAAGTTTTATGATTATTTTCAACTACTAATGTCGACGTTGATTCCTTCCCGTTGTAGGGCTTTTCGATCGCCGGGATAGCTGGGGATCTTCTCACGATCCCCGCGGGCCTCAACGGGAAGATCCCAGGGATCCCCGGATGATGAGGGGTCCTCCAGGTCCCCCAAGGCAGGATCAGAACCCGCCTAACACGAACGAGAACAAGCCAGCTATACGGCCATTAATGAGCCTCAGTCCCCCACCTCTTCCAATCGGCCAGCAGGGCTTTGATTTCAATCTGGATCTTGATGATGATTCTTGGACAGGAGGAGCTCCGGACAGGCGAGGTAGAAAGCGGTCTGGGGAGCAAGAGAGTTTCAGGGATGGGGATCGAGATAGAGGGCCTCCAAAGGCCTTGCGACCAGAGGACGAGTGGAGAAGGGGCCCAGGTAAGAAAGCCTTCGTCTACCAAATGGAGCTGTTGTTAATTGTGTTTATCTTGCTTCTGCGCCTGTTAAGTTCGCTGTAGAGTACTCTTTTGTTAGTAGGCGAAAGTACGTTTTGTGCAGCTTGGTATTATACTATTTTCCTTAGCTCTATTATTCGCTTAAATACTATACATCATGCTCTTACCACCAAGAAAAATCCCGTACTGTTTTTACCGATTCGATACAAAACCAATAGCAGTAATTTACGCACTGGCAGTGATAGAGTCATTAGGCAATGAAGAACATAGCGACTAGCCAGAAGTACTTTGGTTTCGTCTGTACTAGGCATTCAAAATTTATGTTGTAGTTGGACCTGTAGGTTCGTGTTATCTCAGACAGACCTGTAGAAAGAGAGATAGAAGCTATGCATTTTGCTTCTCCTTTAGATCAAGGTCCACCAGATGGTTGGAGAGGCCCGGAAGAGCATTCGGATGATGGGGCCTGGCACGAGGACTTCCCAAGAGGCGACTTTGGGCCTGGGCCTGAAGGAGATGGCGCCATGAGAGGACGAGGAAAGCCAAGAGGAGGGAGGAGAGGGCGGGGTGTAAGGAGATAACACCTGCTACTAACTACCACCCTGCCAGTGAGCGGGAATGATCTCTATCGTTGATGTTAGCACAAAGGATCAAGACATCTACACCTAATTGCCCTCCTCTGTTGTGTTTTACGCAATGCACACGAGGAGATAAAAGGGACTTTAAGGATAACTTGGACTATATCTGGGATGACAACTTCAGTAAGACTTAACCGTGTTGTAAAAAGGCTCTGATGTCGAGAAAGGCTACAGCCGTAAAGTTTTAAATATTTCATTATTTTATAGCTTATTATCCTTGCATTTCTTGTATATTCCATCTTTCTTTGGCAGATTTTGGTTTTCAAAACGCTTGTTCACATGTAAATTACGCGATTTTGTTTCAATGCAAAAAATGTGACATGGGTGCCCCGGCTGAGGGAAAACTCGAGATTTATTTGTTGCTTCTTTCTACAAGCGTAATCTTAATTCTCAAGAGTAGTCAACTGAGATGTCCTATTCCTGAACAACAACAATATTATCAAGGAGACAGATGTTGACAATGTTTAAAGATCGTCAACCAGGGGGATTTTGTGTTGATGCGTTGGCAATTAATATATTATCAGGCTAATTTTCTAACTTGGCCCAGAGGCTTAGGGGAATAGAACAAAGGAAATTGATCATTTATCCCTCAACCTCAATGTGATTTCTTTTGTTTTATTCCCCTAAGCTTCAGAACCAAGTTAGAAAATTGGCCTATTTTCAGCACTATCATTCAAGGAGATGTACAGCAAATTAGTGAGGGAAACCGAGATTTTAAGAGGGACAGGATAGTTGCTGCTGAGTTCCGTTCACTGTATTCTGCTTGTGATTTCTTTTATATATGATATATTTGAAATATACCACTAACTATAAAACATCCTCTTGTAACAGTGTGTCCTATTATTATTCAATTAAGAATTATCTCTTTTCTGTTCCGTGCCCTGTGGTGTTCACTGATTTACTCCCTTGTATTTTCCTCGGTATGTTTTCATTCTCGTCCCCAGACGGCGCGCTCCTTTTGGTCCACTAAAAATCGAGACCTCTGGAAAGGTCCAATTTTCTGAGCATGCGCAGAGTAATCGTATCGTACTCTCAACCAATCAGATTTGTCAGACTTGACTCTGTGCATGCGCAGAGTGACGGGAAGTCCGTGAATTGCGGACTTCCGGTGTTGGACCTTCCCAGAGGTCGCGATTCTTGGTGCTGACCAAAGGGAGCGCGGCCTCTGGGGACGAATATGAGTATGTTTTGTGAAGTTTTCCCTTTCCTGTTTTTTTCTGTAATATCAATGAATATTTAACATGGCCCGTAAAACAATTCATTTGGTGAGCAAACCGAGTGACTTCCATTAGTAAAGTAAAACAAGGCGAGTGGGATGTGAGAAATAATAAACCCCCGTGGCAGGTTGGTGAAGTGGTAAGATTTCAGCCAGTTAATTTGAAGTTGGCGAGTTCGACCAACGGTTTGTGTTCATATAAGTATTGGAAAATAAACATGTTCAAGTCACTAACGTAATGTAAATTTTATTACGTCACTTAACTTGAAGAATCAGGTGTCTTTCTGAAATAGCCTTGCGGTATGACCTCGCGCTAAAATTAGATTGAAAAGCAAAATCATTGGAAGAGGCCCATGTATGGGGATGTGTTCTGTTGAAACCAAAAATGTAGTGCTGTCATGGGAAGTATTTATATGTGTTGTGTTGTTATTTGGTAGAATTTATACACCCGACTTTATACAGGTAACCTTTGTAAAAACTATTGATCAGCATTGTTTCGATAGTAGGTTCTTATCCCTTTCCTTCTACTTAGACAAAAGCTGCAGGTCCTGATCCTTTCCTCTACACACTCCACAAGTCCTTGATAAACCTC